CTCTCCCCAGTGCCCGGAGTTGCCGAGTTCGCCGCCTCCTTCAAAAGCGTGAGTAACCGCGGCTGTGCCGCTCGCCGTCCCCCTCCCCCGCGGTGCTCGGCCCGCTATTCCCGGTTGCGGGCTTTGCGTCTTTGTTCTGTGGAGCGTCTCAGTAGTAGCCTCCGTACACGTTAGAGTAATCCCTTTGTTTTCAATATATCTTTTATAGTTTTTTTTTAATATGTTATACAACTTTCTGTGAGTGATAATTACACCTTGGCAGAAATAAAAGGCTTTAAGCTTTAGGAGACCTCACTTTTCCTACTGTCTTCGACTTGTGGGTAGTAGTGTGCTGGTTTTAACTCTTAAAAAGTCCCAGCAAAGCTAGGAAACAAGATTAAACATAAGAATATCTCTATAGGGTACCTGAAACTCTCGTATTTTTGCTGTCAGTGTAATTAGTTTTCAATATGAGGTCAGACTTTTTCATATAGTTCTAAAAATGCACTTGTCTGAGTATGAACTTTTATTTTCCAACACAGCCCATTACAAGTTCTCCTCCCAAGTGGATGGCTGAATTAGAAAATGATGATATCGATATGTTAAAGGGTGAGTACGGGCATTGTGGGCAGGAAGTAAGGTTGCCAAAGCAGGTGGGAATTTGGTACTTACTTAAGAGGCACAAAACACTTGTTCTTTGAATGTTTGGGACGTGAAGGAATGGGAAGCATTGTTGTTCAGTATTTATTTCAGAGTTTTTTTGCCCTGGATGCCCAAGTACTTGGTTTTGTTTGTTTTTTTTTTTTAATTATACTGTTGATTTGTCTTATTTCTGAAGGCAAGAGTCTTCTGCCAGTAAGCCGTGTGGCCTCAGACCTCTATCCCTTGTGTTTGCAGAATCTCCAGCTCAGGAGTGGCTTTATGCAGATGTCAGGAGCAGGCTGATTTTTCAAAACAAGTGTGCAAGAGTTGCTTGGAGCAGTGTAAAGTTACCTTCTTCACCAGTCTTTCACTGCGTAAGAGTAGTGAGTGTCTCCTGTAGTTTGAGAAGTGGCATGAGTTTTTTGGTGGGCCTCAGCTGATCAAACTTGGTGAGCAGCTTAGACCTCTGAATTGACTTGTTCAGAGATGCCCTATGCATGTGTCTTCAGTCATAGATCTGAGATCTCTGACTGAGCGGTAAGGCTGTGCGAGCAGGTTACGGAAGGGCTAGCTGGCGTGTAGATTTGCTGCATGTTACAGCTATTAGTTTGCAGTAAACATCCTTGAGCATGTTTTGCCTCTTATGTGAATTCCAGATAAACAGTTCCAAAGTGAAAGTGGGACAAATTAACTTCAACTTGCTGCAAGAAATGTGCTTAAATGCATATTATTAATGTATGGTAAACCCATTCCCGTGCATGGTCTTTTGTAGCTTGTCCAAGTAGCAGTGTGAACTTACAGGAACTTCCAAAATATGGGGCAAGTTGCTCATTGCAATGGTGGCAGATTACAGTACGAATCAGGTCCATGGCTGTCTTCTTCAGTAGAGAAAGCTGGTATTACCTTAGTGTGTTAAAAGCGGGGCTGGCATCAGCTTGAATTTTGAACATACTCTGTTTAGTGGAAGTAGATCTTGCCCGAAGTGTGACTTGAAAGTGCTCTGTGAAGTGGTAAACGGGTAAACCATCACTAGAGAGCTACAGCCAATGTTAAAACTCACGCTTTTCTTTCTTCTTAGAGTTGGGGAGCCTAACTACAGCTAACCTGATGGAAAAAGTTCGTGGTCTGCAGAACCTGGCTTATCAGCTGGGGCTGGATGAATGTAAGTGCTGTATGCAGATGTGACTGATAGCATTGCAGACTCCCAGCTTACAGCCTACCTGCGTGAGGGAAAACCTCTTAGCAGCAATACCAAGAGGTCATATGTCAATCTGGTGTTGTCTAGTGACATGTAAACTTCTGTCCAGAATTAATGTTGACTTAGATAAATGAGGTCACTTTGCTTAATTTCCCACTTGGATGCTGAAGCTGTTTCTCTTGGTACTTGTGGCAGTACTTCTGTCAGACTTCATGCACTGCCTCCACAGTGAAACTTTCACTTGTGTGTAGGATTATGCCATCACTTAGTGTTCATACTGTTTTCTGCTTCTGTAGCTGTTGTTATATTTTTTCTACACACAATTGTGACAGGAGGTAATGTCACTGAGTGCTAGAGTTGACCTTCATCCCACTTAAAAATAGCCAATTTCTATCAGTTTTTTTGAAGAAGGAGCTGCTTTCACCATCACATTTAGGACTCTATTGTTAACAGGTTGATCTAACTTTGAGGATTTCAAGAGGATTGTGTTTCTTTCCAAGCTACCTGTACATACTGACAGATTTAATTATTTCAGCTTAATTTCTCTTGCACAGACCTTAGTTGCAGTTGCTCTTGGGCTACAAAAAGCACCAAAACTTTTAAAACTTACAGGTCTTTCACCTTCCTTTTGGTGGATGACCATACGCAGCAATAGACCTTTAGAGCCTTCCTGACTGTAAAACTAGGATATCCTAATGCTTTCTTATTAACAGATCATTAAGCCTATTTTAACACACTCCCTGCTAATTTATTTTGCTTTCAGTGCTAACATCTGTTAAGATTGTATAAAGTGTTTAGTGGAGTAGAATTTAAAATATAACAATGTAAAACTGAGTCAGATACAAAGACTGGCTGATGATTGGCTTTCTCAGTCAAGCTGTAGGCTTAAATGTCAGACAGCTTTGTCCTGCTAAATGGAGTTTAAGGAGAGCTTGAGTTACGTTAAAGCTAACAAGGTTGTTGTTTCCTTAGCAGTATTTGTTGCATTTATTTCAATTTATTTTAACTGTGAACAAATAAATTCTGTAGTAACTGAAATCTTGACTTTTCAAGCTCTCCGTGGTTGTAACTTCTTGTCGCTGAAGTCTATTTTCCTTTAGGCTATAATACATAGAATGGTTTGTGTGTCGTAACACACATTTATCTTAGGAAGACTTTCACAGAAAATTAGATGTGGAGTTTGAAGAGGGCTCCTCAGGGCTGTTTTTCCCAGTACTGTCTTTTGAGTTCTTTCCTCTTACAGACTTGGGTAAGTGAGAGAGCAAGAAGAAAATTCTGAAAGATCTGTTGATTAAAGTTAAGGGACTTGTAGTTTTGGTCCAGAGGTGTTGTATTTGACTGTATCTTTGTGCACTGAAATTTAGTAGTCCCCTTTTGATGTGACTGTTAATTGAAACTGTCAAAACCAGGCTTGAAACCGCTGCTGACTGGTCTCCTGTAGATGGCAGCATGAGGCTTCGTACCGGAGTCCTGCTGCCTTTTTTTTATAAAATTGTACCGTTTCCATCATGATTCGGAGTTTGTTCTTTCCAAGATAGTGGGGTTTTTTTTGTGACATGTTTGTTCTGAACGTGCACTGTCTTTTTTACAGTACTTTAAAGTGTTTTATCTGTGCTGTGTGAGAAACAATTCTTCATTGCGTTAGCATCTTCCTTTTCCTTCCAGCTCTCCTCTTCTACACCCCATCTCAAATCATTTATATTTTCAAAGACTTCTGCTTTCGTCCAAGTTATTAATAAATTACTATGAGTGATTCCTGCAGCACTCCATGGCGAATGTATCTGTTGAGTGACTTTGTAGTTACGTTGAGGTCTGTTACTGAACCAATTCACAGCACACTTCATTTTGATTTTGCATTAGAATTCATTAGGCAAAGTGACGTTTGGGACTGGGTACCTTTTGAAAAGTTCAGTCATCGAGGTACTGTTGCAACACTAAAGTTGAAATCTGAGCAACTGATCTGGCATAAGGTAGTTTGATAAAGTAATAATTACTGAATTACATGTCTTGTTTCTTAGATTCCTATAAACTGTCATACTATTTTGTCTGTATAAGCGGGCTTTCTTGACAGATTTGGAACAAATGTATTGAATGCTTTGTCCATCTTCACTGCTTTCATCTAGGAGTGGTTGGATACTATTTGGATTCCACGTTCTTATGTGTCAGTCTTGCTGTCCCTAACTTTTTGGCTGTGGATTTCTCTGTTCCTCTTTTGGTTGCTTGCCTCTCACAGATTTCTGTTCTTTACAACTAACTTTGCCCCCTCTTTTCGCCCATAGGGCTATCTTTACTTTCTGCAACCCTGGCTATTTTGTTGAGTGCCATGCTGCATGGCTTCTGTGAATCAAATTAAATTGTTAATGTGTAAGTTATGTTTTCTTTTCAGTGTGTTTGACATCTGGTTTGATTTACAGTTATCCTCCACTTGTAAAAGTAGCCCTTTACGCTCACTGCTGTTTCACTGGTCTGCACTGTAAGCTGCGTATTATGTGATTTAAATAATTATATCTTAATTAGCGCAGAGTTCTGTGAAAGTTTTTCTTTATCAGATGAAACTGAATAGACTTGCCCTGCTTGGATTGTAGCAGTAAGTTCAAGAAACAGTCGACTGAAAACTTCAGAGGTGACTTTTACTGTCAGAGGTCTGAGATACAGTGAACATCATTCAGGCTGAAATAATGCTAACAGCTTCCTCCGGTATTTTATATGGGCATCTGAGGAGTCAGGCTTCTTGCCCTCTGTTATGATTTCTGTGCAGTATAGCAAGTACCTGTTTAGACTGCAGTAGCTTTATCTGATAACACATCAGTTTCTGAGCATATGGGATGATAGTGTCAAAGGAGACCTTTGACAACTGAAATGGTTAGTGCTGTTTTTGATAATGCTGTTTGCTTCCTCCTTGTCTGAGGTTTCAGTTACTGCTTTCTGAGTAAGGTAGCTGTTGATCTGTCCGGCTATGTATCTGATTCTTCTAGCTTCAGCAGCACCCAATACGTTTAGTTTGTACTTGGACAAGATAAGTTGTTTATTTTTGGTGATTTTTTTTTTTTTTAACCTTCGTAGTTTAAAAAGACTTCTGTTTGGCAGATACTGTGCAAATTTGTAATCTTTTTTTTAACCAAAGAGATAAGTGATCACCTTTTTTAAAAATATATTTCTGACTCATGGCCTGATCTCCTGTGTGTTCATTTACCTTTTACTAAGAATCAGGCCCTTAAACTGCAAATAAGAGATGGGCTGTCTTCCATAAATCAGAATTTCTTATTTGCACCAGTTCATTTGCTGATGACTTATCTTGAAGATCTTTCTTTTGGATCAGAAAGGCTTTCCAAGGAGATCTCTTCTTCAGCTTTCCGCCTAGCATGCTAGTAGGTGGATTCTTGCTCACTCCTGTCTCTTCCTTGCCAAATACTCTTCCCTTCCTTTGCACGGAATTCACCCAAAGGATGGCCTTCCTTGAATGAAGCAGGATTTTTGTAGCATGAATGAATGATTTTTTTTTTTATTATTATGTACTCTCCTCTTAAAGGATAGACTATTCTTAGCTCTCTGGTTCGTGTATTTATTCTTTGCTGCAAGGTGGTTCTGGAGTTCTCCATCAGCTTCCAGGCTCAGGATCTGATATCAATAATAATAAAATCTTGTAAAAATAAATAATTTTTCAACACCTCTTCTGAGGCTTGTGTTTCCTTGCCTCCTTTTTAGCTATGTACAGTTCTACCTTGTCCTCTTGCTTGTTAGTGCTTTGCTCTTTTTACTTAAGCTATCTCATTAGAGCTTCTATTTTCCTTCTGTCAAAGTGATTTTATCGGTTGGAATACGTTGAAACTATTTTTAGTATTAAAAATCCTGCTTTATATAGATTTTGCTGTCCTTGCTAATGTGGGTATTGTAAGGGTGTGTCAAGGAGCAGGGCTCAATGAGGACACTTACTTTTTATTGTTCGTGCCATTAGGGTGACTTTGGCAAGCCTAGTGTCACTGCTGAGTGCGAGATGCAGCCAGTCAGCGAGTCTCATCTCTGCTGTTGGCAGAAGTCTGGGAGAGGGGTCCAAAAAAAGGTGTAGGTATGTTGCCTTGTTACGGACTTTCCCCCCCACCCCATGTCCCTCCAGCTTTGCTTGGAGTGGGATTGTGAGCACTGCAGAATGAGGAGACCCCAGCTGACGTGGCAGGCAAGAAGGAGGTAGTTCTTATGTGGGATACCCAGTCACAGATCCTGACTCAGTGTTTGTGGCCCACAAAACTGCAACTTTCAAAACAGCTTGTGTAAATAACTGCAGATTTAGATACCTTATTCTTTTTTTTTCCACTGTATGACCCATTACAGCTTTCAGAGCAACTGGGTCAGAATTCACTTTAGAAGATTTTTAAAGTCTCAGTTGCATGAGCTAGCAGCTCTGGGAAATGTATACATTGCTGGTAGGCAAACCTGGTGTTTCATTATCCTCAATTGCAGTTATTTTGAAAGATCTACTCTGTCATCCTTTTGAATACACATATACAGAGAGGTGTATCTGAGAACTACATACATAAAGAAAAATATGTTTTTCTTAAAAAAAAAAAAAATATTTAAAAAGGAAAATAAAAAACTTGGTTTTTTTTCCAAACTTTGGAGCAAACTGATGTATAAAAGTAACGGGTAGGATGGGGAAGTAGGAAAAGCACCATGTCACTGAAGGAATGTGGTTGTCCAGGGACTTTCTGAAGGCCTTGCTGTTGTTTCCCTGTGAATCTCTGATATTTTTCAGATAACACCTGCTATATTGGTTCAGAAGTCCTAAAAGGTGTGTGTGTATATATATACACACCGTGTGTCACAGCCATGTTTATAAAATCTCACTGATGCCAGAGAGATTATCTGGCTGTTATGTTATCACAGTATAGCTTCGGTGATATCACTAGTGCAAGATTTCCTGAAAAGGCTATTCTTTTTAAGCCCTAATATGTTCGTGGATATAATGG